AGTGAGCTAGATCTAAATGAATTAAGAAATCGCAATAATGTTTTAGTTGGAATATCCCCCAAAAAATTACCTCTATTCTGTATAAGCCAAGGTTAAGCTGAGCAACCAGTTATAAACTGAGCCATCCAATGCAAGGTACAAGCCACATATTTACTCATCAAGTACACCATATCATTTAGTACACCATGAGTTGATGAATGGATCCCAGAGGTTGCAATTTTCACATATTCACTAAACAAATCCTACATAATTCCGGGTAATGTATATTTGGTTGGATCCCTCTCCAACAGCTTCTTTACGAGACTTGAAAACAAGTAACTCAGTTCAGAATTGCTTAGAATGACTGAGGTGGCTTTTCCTGTTTCATATTATTAATACGATTAAATATTTATCTGATCTATGCTATTACAGGTTGTCAAACCTGTAATTTATAAATCTCCCCAAATTAGAAAAGATCTCACATGTTTTTTTTTTTTAAATAAAATAACATTCTATTCACAAATTATTTCCCTAATTTTCTTTAAATAAATATTCCCTAATTAAATAAGATTTCCCTAATTGTTTTTAAATAAAATAACAAATTATCACACATTGAAACATTTTTTTGTTAATTAAAACTCTAAAATGAAGAAATTTTTAGAATGATGATTATACCACGGGATCGTGGCTCTAACCATATACCTAAATGTTATGGAATTATAAAAAAAAATGTTTCCTGTCCTTCTGTCTAAAGGTTTAAGTAATCTGTACATAAGCATATCTTTTTCTAAAAACAGGAGGAAGCTTTCTAATGCAAACACACAGTTATATATAATCTTTCAAATTACTTGGACACAAATAAACAATATCAATAAAATAGAGAAACCATCAATGATACAACTACTTGCAAATTGGTTCATTAAACTTAAGTGTAATAATTCAGTGGAGTGGAACAATGGAATGGAATTTTTAGCATTTCAGAATATAGTCATGAATACATTGTACACAAGCTTAGCAGTAAGAAATAAAATCAATACTTTTAGATAGCATTCAATAAATGTTTTTTAAAACAATTGAAAGCATGATACTGCACAATGTACTGACATTACCGCTGAATATAAAACATTTATATATATATAGTGCAATTCAGGCTTTCTAACTGGTTTCATTTTTATTTGGAAAATCTAAAATTAATTGAATAACAACTAATTGAATTTAATGTCTCTATTTTTAGAAAATGTAATACATGACATAGTTGTTACAAAATATATTCTGATCATCCTCTAGACCAGGGGTAGGCAACCTTCGGCACTCCAGATGTTGTGGACTACATCTCCCACAGTGCTCTTACAGCTATAATGCTGGCGAAGCATCAAGGGAGGTGTAGTCCAAAACATCTGCCTATCCCTGCTCTAGACCATGGGTCCTCAAAACTCCGGCCCCCCAGATGTTGCTGAACTACAACTCCTATGATTCTTTGAATTACATAGCTAGGCAGAGAATCATGTAGTTCAGCAACATCTGGGGGGCCGGAGTTTAATACCCATGCTCTAGACTGTAAGCTCATTTGAGCAGGGTCCTCTTCAACTTATTTTTCTTATTTTAAGTTTTTGTAATTGTCTCATTTATTGTCATTTATCTCCCCCTCTGATAATATTGTAAAGCGCTATGGAATATGCTGGTGCTATATAAATACCAATAATAATATTAATAATAATATTCTAAGCATTAAAATAGAAAATAGAGAGAAATAAATAAATATCAATAGAAATATAGAAATTCCCATAATAAAATTTTGCCATCTCTTTAGTTCTCTTTGCAAATGAATGTTAACACATTTTCACTTACTTGTCTCAATAGTGGGTAATAAAATTCCATACAGTATGGGAAATTTAGAACAGAGTTTTCATAATATTCTAAATTTTCATTTCACATTAAAGTGTATGTGAATAAAAAAAATATATATATATTTTGTCCACATATTTTGCAATGCACAGCCACTTACAGTATAGTAACTCAACTCCTGGGTAAATGTATGGATTATAACACCCTTTCTTTTGACACCTTTTTGAAACATATTTATATATATATATATAGTAGCACATTAACGTTGTTATAACATATTATAAAATATGTATATTTGTAGTAACAACAAATAGGAAATTAATGTATTTAGATCTATAGCCTATACTCGTTAGATAAGCATATCTAATGTAACTTAACAGCATTTTAGTGAGTTGTCATTTAACTTACAAAATTAGTCAAAAACATCTGAGCTAAATAAAAGTCTGCTCATTTCAAAAGATGTATATAATGGTTTTGTATTCTAAAGAACAAAAATAGCACACAGCAACACTAGGTTATTTCTTTGATCCCTACTTAAATATCTTTACGCCCATGGGTACATTACAGGAATGCTGACACTGAAAAACCCCCATGCCTTAGAATGTGCACAGAAATAGTAGATCTGTTTTAAAGAAAGTATACACAGTCAGTAGAATTAAAATAGAAAATGTAAAAATGTACATTTCATGCGCTCAATTTTACTTGCCCCCTGAAAGATGTATGGACATGTAAACACTATAAATGGCCTGTAAACACATTCACAAAATAGACAAAGACAAATGTATACACATTCCAGCAGGACTCAGAATTTCACCCCTGCATGGTATAGTATGGCTTGCAGTGGCAAGTTACTTTTAAGGTCGGGCTAGTAGCATAATAGACTACAAATCATATTCCGTGCACTCAGGTATTGTATAAAAACACATTATAAAGTTTGTATGTACAATTGTTATTTTTGGGAATCATTAAAACATCTCTAACCCAGTCTGTACCATGGAAGACAAGTTAAGCTCTCACTCTGCTCTAAAGACTAAACATGGTGAAAGTCTCTTCCAATTAATCTTCAATATATACATATGTGTTATGTTTAAAAGCGAGTATTTTAGATAATAATAAAACTATGCAATTGTTTCCAGTTTGTTGTACTCTCCTCCTGGTCTCACGTGGAGCTGGACAGATTCATTTTCATTCTCTGGTTTTCTAAAACTGGCCTGCAATCGTAGCTTGAGCTCCGGGTCTGGGCAGAATAGGTATTCGTAGACAAAACTGGCAAGAACTCCACCCATCATTGGACCAATCCAGTATATCTGGTGACAAAGACAGAGAATATTTAAAACATAGATAATCCATATTGCAGACAAGTAGGCAGTTGCTTTCCATAGGGAAAAAAGAATAATTAGGGGTACACCAGCTCTCAAATGCCTGTTAACTGTAAAACTATTATTCACTTCAGTTAGAAAAATGTAGTCAATCCTGTTTTCAGTTTGTCTATTTTGGCCTTAAATCTGAAATTTAATTAGAATTTATGGCTTTTCTCACTTTGCATAACCCTGTAAGCGCTATTAGATTTCACTTGTTTTTCTCAGTGGGGAAAGAGGCTGAATCGCTAGGAATATTCTTGGACAGTACCTCATAATTAGTGATGTTCACGAACGGTTCGCCACGAATGGTTCGCCGCGGACTCATCATTGAGTAAACTTTGACCCTGTACCTCACAGTCAGCAGACACATTCCAGCCAATCAGCAGCAGACCCTCCCTCCCAGACCCTTCCACCTCCTGGACAGCTCACTAAGAATGCAGCTTCAAATGGATGCTGTCCAGGAGGTGGGAGGGTCTGCTGCTGATTGGCTGGAATGTGTCTGCTGACTGTGAGGTACAGGGTCAAAGTTTACTCAATGATGAGCCCGTGGCGAACCGTTCGTGAACTGTTCAGCGAACAGTTCGGGACATCACTACTCATAATTAAAGAAAATTGTTAAAGAAAATTGATAAAGAAGCTGCAGCTGCATTTGCGAAATGCATAGGTGCATTACTTATTTTCAATATAATAACAGCTAAATTATTTCAAATTATTTATTATAACCTGTGCATAAAAATTTCATAAAAATCTCAGTTGGTTGGCTAGTCAAACCAGTTTTTTTCAACGCTATCTACAGAATAAGGAAGTGTCTATGCTAACTCTACACAGTGACATTCTTTCTCCTTTCTCCTCGAGCAAAGCAGGTTAAATCATGAGCCAAGATATTAAAGATTACCATATACATTAATGGGTTTTCTTATGAAAATTGTTGTGGCGAAACCGGCCTCGCCACGTGTCCTTGGAGGGGGCTGCTTGCCCGCCTCTTGCCTTTGGACTATGGACCAGACTTTATGTGAATGTGTTAACCCAGATAGCTATGCCATGGAGCCCATTCGTGTAGTTAAAGACTTCGCTCCATGGCAATTGAACTGTGTGAATAGGATCTGAGCGCTATTCGGTAGTTTTGTGCGCTCAGATCCCAGCTATCTGGGGATATGTGACATGTCTGTGTTTTATGTATAAAATGTGACTTTGTGTATTTTATAATATTTTAATGCTTTGTGCTCACCATGTGCATAATGGAGTCTTGTGTCTGTCCTGGGAGATAATTGAATTACTTCTCACTTATCTCCAGGATAGAAGACTCTGAAACTGGTTTGGGCCGGAAAGCCATGCTTCATTTAGTCACAAAGGACTTTCCCTTAACTTTTGAACCCCTGGTCTGATTCGTGCCATTTTTTAATATGTTGTTCCCCTGAATGGATTGATTATGAAAATGTATGTTTTATGTTTTTGACATGTATATTTTAGAAGTTATAAATATTGTGTAAAAACTGTATTCCTCTGCCGGTGATAATGAGATTACCCATTGTGTTCAGTAATCATATCACAGGCAGAGGGGAGGATTTTGTGTGGGAGTGTCTGGGTGTATTGTACGGATTGATTGGTTGTTTTGTAACGCCCTGTGGGCTGTACTATGTTTGTGGATTGGGAATAAAAGAGACTGTACAGAGAGTTCCTGTTTTAACCCTCAAAGTGAAGTGTTGTCTCATTATTGAGGGAAGGATTTATTGTATGCTGTTCCAGTTTGACTGCTAGGAGAGTAAACCTATTCGTATGGTTCCTATTCAACTGTCTACAGCATTCATATGCTTGGGAGAATTTATTTGTTTCTCCGGTTTGGTGATTGTGGTGTCTGCCAGAGTGCTTGGAGTCCTCAGGAAGCGCTAGGAGCATCCTTCAACGGAGGTACCCAGTCGGGGTGCCAGGCGATCCGTTACAATTGTTATATTACTGCATTTAAAAAAAAAAAAAATTACTTAATACTAATTTTATTATTTTAGCTTGTTTTTCACATGCTACTTTTTTATTCCAGTATTTTTTGAGAAACATGAATAGCTATATTTTACTCTGGGACCTCTTACATCATCAGTGTTCGGGACCTACTGTTATTGCATACAATAAGTGTGATTATGCTGTGGGCAGCAAACAGGTGTGATGTTAGAAATAATTTGAAAAAATGAATGTGGACTAATAAAATAACAAGCAAAACATGACTATTGCAAACATTTGGGGTGAGCCAAGATTCTTAGAACCTGACTGTAGACAAAACACAGCAAGTTGTATCCCAAATTAATTATTTTGCACTACATGATGCAAATCCCCAGGCTTCTCAAATTAAGCAGGGAGCTCTATCCAGACCAAGAGATGTTTTAGCCATTCAGGATGATCCCATTATTTTCTTATTCTTATAAAACATGCATGCCAGGCATGCACAGAAGGTTACTGCTCTGAAACATTGTAGTCAAAAGTGGCATAGGTGTGAGGACCCAATGCACACACTTCAGCATGTCCTGGACAAAAATGAAGACACTTCCATGTGCCTTTTGTCTTGAAAAGTTTCGTAATGTGACCCATGGCCAATCTTGCTCTGCACTCTTGTGATAACAGTAAGCAGCAGTTGTCACTTGTTCCCCTTTACTTTAGGTCAAGTATTGCTCCTAATAGCTCCTATTGCTAAGCCTTTAAGTGATAGAGCTGTACGCCAGACCTTAGGCTTACCAGGTTTACCATGTTTTCATCGACACACATCACTTACAGCAATTAAATGGTGAATTTAATTTCTTATTACGTGTAGACCATCAATATGAAGTTATACGCATCCCAGGAAAAATGGTAGATCAGGCAGACCTAATGGCAATACTATCCATTCTTGGCTTCAAGCATTCAGAGGAATACGTGTTCCTGTAATTCCCACCTATAAACACTTACCCAGTGGTTTTCCCACTTGTTAAATACAACACTTGTTCCTAATGATCTTGCTGGGTTCATGCTCGCTCCGGTATACTGGATCTGGAACAAGGGAATTAGAAGACAGATTATGGTTAGTGCACTGCTGCATTTAACTATGTGAATACTTTGCAATGTGATGTGTTACAACGTGAATAAAAGTCAGATCCAAACGTACTTTGTGTGTTCCCAAGGCTCTCTGCAATGGAGATTTTGTAAGTACACAGAGCATGAGAGCAGAACATTGTAAGACACCAGAAACACACGTTTTGGAACACTGACATTTCCCTTGAACTACAAGTTGCATAATGATAAAAACACAAGCGGTTATTCACTCAAAGGTAAACGGACTTGAATTAAAAATCAAAATGGCTCATTTCAAATTTGAAATAGTTGAGGTGAAATAATTTTCCCTTTCTGTTATTTAGTTAGGTATTTTGCACTACTTGCTATGAATCCCCAGACTTTTCAATTAAGCAGTGAGCTCAATCCAGACCAAGAGATGATTCAGCCATTCAGGATGCTCCCATTATTTTCAACGGGAGCTGTGCATGTCACATAAACGTCTGCTCATTGGAAATTTAGATCAGAACTCGACAGCAGTCCATCCAACAGATACAATGATTGTACCTTGTGCCCTGAATGTTGCAAATCTCTTTTATATTCTTATTACCTCTTGTTCCTGTTAACATTTGTCATAGTTTGTCTTTTTTGTAAGTTGTAAAGTGCTATGGGATATGTCTGTGCCATATAAATGCCACTAATAATTCTCTCTCATTCCTGGTTTAGTGAAGAAATCTGGTGGTGTTGACTACAACTAATCCTAGGTATTGGATGCTCAAACTTACTATCACCAAAGTTCAGACGGTACTCCAACCAGTTAGTATGCTTCCACCTTTCCTATCACATATAGGTAATCCAGCCACACACACTTATATTGAAGAGTGCCGGCAGTGGTTGTGGTGTTTCTTGGAGTGTTGCTTTAAAGCCAAAATTACAGTTTCAACTGACTTCACAGTATATATTTAGGGCCATCCAGAGTGTAACTCATATAGAGAAGTACTCTCTCATGAATACTCAGATTAATAAAACCCAGTACTCAGGGCCGGATTAACATAGGGGCTAATGGAGCTGAAACTTCAGGCCCATGCCCTTAAAATAGGCCCAGTGATTAAAAAAAAAAAAAAAAAAACCCTCTTGCTTTGTGCAGAGAGAAGTAAGTAAGGCAACTTATAATGGGTATAGAGGAACAAACCATGTGTGGACTGGCTGACCATAAATGAATTAAGGTAAAGCTGACTTTGTGCAAATGCCTTTGCTGCTTCAGTCTATCTAACAGTGTAGCATATCCCCTTAATTCTACTCTCACTACGTCCACCTTTTTCTCTGTCCAAGCCTGCATACAAGGAGCTTCTTCCTGCTAGTAAACAGGGAAGAAGATGAGTGGACAATTAAGTCACGCAGGACACCAGGGAACTGTCCCCAGAAAACATAGAGCTAGCATATCATTGAACACATTCGTGCCAAGGTCTATGCTGTCTGCCTAATATGTCCTTCGGCTGGTCGCCAGGCTGAACTTCCAATTCTTTGGACAGACCTGCCTCGGTTTTCCTTGCGGGTCCATCCCTTTTACCCTGCCCATCTCCACCTGATTGAAGACACTTTGAAGGTGTAACTGTTTTAGTGTTTTCTGTCAATAAGATTCTGCAATTAAGGCCATCATAATTGTAACCAGCTCCAGGCCCAATGGGCTCTTAATCAGGCTCTGACAGTACTACATATTATACTTGTTTAATGGTTTCTGAGTAACAATCTTAATTATTCACCTGTTGCACACACCTTTTACTACCTGAGGTCAGGCTCAGCAAATTCCATGATGGCGTGGCTTATGTACTAACACATTTACTACCTAGCTATGAAAATGTTATATTTGCTAAGGTGATCTCAAGCTGGAACAAAATTCCACAAGGTTGGTGTTCTCCATAGTGGTTGCCAAGGCATGCAAGATTATTAACTAAAGTAATCATTCAAAGTGTATTTCAGATTTAAGCCCAGAGCAGCTGAACGGAAAGCATGGTTGACTTAGATGATTTTTACAGTTAAACTATTTTGAGCTTACTTTTAAAAGCTTCCTTGAATTCTCACTTTAGGGATAAACCATGCCAGTAAACAAAGTTACCGACTTGCCATTCTACATAGTGCGATGGCTACAACTTTTCTTCCCAAAGGTGGTTACTAGCAACTACTTTTAAGTTGTTTTTTTTAATGCACATTGAGTGATATACTAACAGGGTTATTCACTAAGGTGAAATTTCAAGGTGAATTCAATATCATTTAAAGTCAAAATAACCAAACTGGAAAAATAATCTCTAAATCGGTTATGCTTTCAGTTCAGGTACTCAGGCCTTAGATTTTACTTTGAATTCTCAGTTTCTGATTTTTACTCTGTAAGTAATGTTGTGTACAGCCACTGTAGTCAGAAGAATTGTGTGCATTTGTAAGATAAATGTATCAAGACAGTGGTATTTATTGTACTTTAATAAGCCGGTCAACTTACTGCAAAAAGGTGTCCAATTGTCACCGAGAGCCCAATGATAAGAGGAATGGGAACTTTAATGTCACTTCGCTTCTTGTCACACGAAGCAAAAATTGTGAACACCAACTGGAAAGTGATGATCGTTTCCACGAGAAGAGCCTGACCATGTGAAACGGTGTCATGTTCCTAATTAGAAAATGGTAATAATAAAAAATTAAAATTAAAAAATATACACTCGAATGAACCACTATATCGTATATATTATTGAAGTAGACAAATAGTGACATGGAAGAGGTTTTGCACTAGTCATGGTTATTGGGTCTGTGTGCAACTGGTAAATATGGCAAATGCCATTACCCAGTGAAAGAGCCTGCTCCGGTCATATTCTGTATTATTGTTTCCTAAAGACTGAATACTGGGTGCGATGTATGAGTAATTGATATCATTCTACCCACTATGGATTCCACACAGTGCTAGATAACAAGGGAACACGGACAGTGATTTATAAATCCAGCATGGGAACAATCAGAAGAACTAATAATTACTTATATGGGAGAACACCTTGCCATAATATGTGGGGGGGGGGAGGTTCTTAACAGAATTTGTTCCTTTCTAACAAACTCAACATGGGGATATTCACTAAAGTCCAAATGAGTCTGGTTCAAATAAGGAAACCAAATCTGGCACCATCTGGTAAAATCTGGGCATTGGTTCAAGATTTACTAATGCCATGATTTCCCAATACTGCATGAATTACAGAGAATATAGACTGGATTTCATCCTATCAGGATACATCTGGACACCTGAAATCCAGAACTAAAATATGGAAATATGCAGCTGTAACCGCATGTATCATGAAAATTGGACAGAATTAGCCACTATCAGCTTATAATAAACTCTGCTGTGAAGGGTATTGCTAGGTGTTATAAAGTCCAGTGGCTTCAGCCTAAGAGTACATTTTAAACCCCTCCTTATATAATAACCAAATCCATGACTTATACCACACCCCATTTCTAACCCTAAACCCTAATATATTAATAATTTTATGACACAAAATATATATGAATTCATATATGAGCATTATGTTATAAATTCCAACCCTATGGTATAAATTTATTGCAGTCCTACCCTTAAGGACGCAGCATGGAACATTTCAGTCATTTTCAAAAATAACCTCAGATCACCACGATTGTGGGGTTAATGCTGCTGCAGTCTGCCTTCAAGGTGTTTTGTTTAGGGGGGACAAGGAGGGGCAACAAAAGGGGATACAAACGTTTTAAGTATTGTTTTATTGAACATATAACTATGAACTTTTTGCATGAGCTGATTCTGAGAAGTTCGAAGGTATTACTTCTTCAATACTCCATCTGAAATACTCCATGATCCTTCACATATCTATCGTAATTCTATTTTAGTCCAAATACAAGATACCTGTATTCAAGCAGAGACTTTTAACTGCATCATACAGTAGAAATTACTCAATTTGCTTAGACTATGAGCATTTTGTATTTTATATTAACTTTTGAATGCACAATTCCGTGAAGGGGGGTGGATCAGCAAACATGCCATGCGCCGGATGTGCAGCGGCCTCAGTCCTCACCCAGTGTGCTGTCGTCCCATAGGTCCCAGATCTTATGGAAAGTTTTAGTGGACCCCTTAACTCTGGCTGTCAGATCGTCCATCAGTCTTATCTCTTTAATTCTAGCTACAATTTCTGACATGCCTGGGGTAGTTGGCTTCAAGCGGATGAATGTACCCCTTATCACTGCTTTGTGGGCAGCCCAGATTGTGCTCACTTTCAAGTCAGGGCTAACCTGTTTTGTGATATCTTCATCCCTCAGTAAGGATGTATTCATCCTCCAGGACCATGGGGTTGCCCTACACAGGTTGCCTAAGGTTAAGGTCACTTCTGCATGATCAGACCATGCTATTGAGCCCACAGCTGAGTTCGTGACCCGAGCCATGCAGTGGTCGTTGACCAGGAACAGGTCTATCACGGAATGTGTGCCGTGTGGCGCCGAGTAAAAGGTATAATCTACTGCATTGGGATGATACGCCCTCCACACGTCAACGAGGCCTGTGTGAGTTATGAACTCGTGCAGCAATTTATCTTGGCCGCCTCGATCCTTGAGACCTGGGCACCCCCCTGTGAGCGCTCCTGTCGGCGGCAGGACATGGCAGCGCGTTGAGGTCCCCCCCCACCATGACCATGCCGTGTGGCAAAGCCTGCAATATCTGTTGTATCTGTTCCCAGAACCACGGTTCGGGCTGGTTTGGTGCGTAAATGTTGATGAGGTGGACTGTATGTGAGAGTATGGTGCCGGATAAGATGATGTACTGTTCCGATGATGTACTGTCCCTCGGGGTTGGTTTCGGTTTTTGAAGTGTGAAAGGGGCAGCTGTTGCGAATTAGTATTGCGTTTTTTATGGGCACAAGCTTCATATGTAGTGTCGTATGTGTGATCGCGCAGCCGAAGCTGTGAGTGTCTAGGTAGGTACGTTTCTTGTATAAATGCGACGTCTGATTTAATTCTTTTTAATTCGCGGAAAAGAAGTCGTCGATTTGTAGGGGCGTTCAAGCCCTTAAAGTTTAGTGATGGAATAATTAAAGCCATGACTGAGGTACAAGTGCCCTGTTATGCTGTACGGCCATCTCGGCTCTACACACCCCCCAGTCGTGTAAGTTACCAGTCAGTACTCTCAGATGGGACATCCGCACCATATTCTGCTCCCCGACTGCACTGCTCAGCCCCACATAAGGGAGGGGAGAGGAAAGAAAGAAAGGATAGAAGGGAAGAAGAGATTTATATAGTGCATCTCCAAGAGGAGGTGGAACAGGTCTGGTCTTACTAATTGCCAGACGCAATTTGGGTGCATGGGACCTCTCCTCCACCGCGACCAGCGCTCGTGAGAGATTCTGGCCCATGAGCCATGACCTTGTAACGCTGCATTGCTTAATGTCATCTCTATTTCTTCCTCCCCGGCAGGGGTGTGCCCAGTAGTGTGCGCCACGCCCGACGTGAGAGTCCTGTGAAACCAGATAACCCTTAGTAAATTACATTGTCCATAACTAAACAGTGTGTATGTAGGAAACAGTTAACGACAACAATCAACATTTCTGTTACAGAGGCCTCAGTCCGCCTTCTTGCCAACCTTCCAGGGGGAGAGGGAGGGGGGACTAACGCCTCCCGGGGGCCCCAAGGGCTTGGCGTATGGGTGGGCCCATTGCAAGTGTTAAAGGCCTGGTAGGGGGTCTGATGCGCTGTGTCCCTTGGCCCCTGTGTGATGGGCAGTGGCATCCGCCCGTGTCATCGTTCAGGGTATTGCCTAGGTATGTATGCCACTACAGGTTATTGCAGAACGTATTGTAGTATAATCTATATCTATGTATGCCACTACCCATCGTTGCATACCGTATTGTAGTATAATCTATCGTTTGCACTCAGGGGTTCAGAGAAACAGTGTGTTTCCCCCTCCCCCTCTCTTTTTGTGTAAATATCTCCTTGTATGGTACAGCTTTGTATTCCTAACACTATAAAATCCCTTTAAATGAAGTCTCTGTATCGTTACAGCATTTTCAGAATATAAGGGTCTAGGCCTTTATATAAACAGGAGAATTGTAATGCTATAAATATCAGGAGTACATTTAATTTCCAGCCCTCACATTATTGTAAAAGGCAACTTGGATGTCAAAAAGATTTTTTAAAATACAAAATGAATTATTTGAATCCACTTCCTTAACACCTACTCAGACATAATTTACAGTAACAGTTTACATAACATCACATGGGAGGGTTTAGGTAAGCGTTCTAGAATCCTCCCAGAGTTTAGAGACCAGGGATCTGCAACATGACTTACATTCCTGGTCTATAAACCAGCGAGTCATTCAAACAACATTGCATTTCATTAATTTGCCATACAGGAACATGCTGTACTCCTGCAATCCGTGCTGTGATATAACATATGTAATGCACGAACATGCATTATGATATTGCTCATACATAAGCATACGTATGCTGTAGCCCTACACACCATTCCATGACATAGTGTTTGTCATACAAGAATATACAGCATGTTATAGCTCATGACATGTGTGCACATGCTGTAATCCTAAACCCCATTTCATAAGATTGAGCATGTACACACACACACACACACGATTCGGAGACATCATTTTATTTAGGTCTCTAGAACCTTTATAAAGGTTCAAGAAACAATTATAAAATTATGATGTCTCAGAGATGGTTTATTTTCCCCTAAAGCACACTTCACTGTTATGTATCTTTTCTATATATAGTAGATTATGTATTCAATTTAAGTGTATTATAATTGGTAGACTTAAGAAACAAAAAAACAATGCAAATTCTATCAAATGGAAGTTTTTATCTTTGAGCAGTACCTAAATATTAACACGCAGGGTTATTCACTAAAACATGATTTGCTGGAAATGTAAATGTTAGTCCCAAATAACCATCTTGTATTGCAATTCATCTGTTATGACCTAAAATTTTAAATTATATTTAAATTCACTTTGAATTTGCCAGCATTTCACACTTTATTGAATAAGCCTGTAAGACATGTAATCACCATATTCTGGTTTAGCCTGTCCGTTATTTGATTAAAAGTATGATAATGACCTTTGATGACCATCTGGATCCTCGCACCTTCTGAAAGAGCACACATTAAACATACCTTGGTAACACCAACTGGCCATTTATCGTGTGGTGTAATAAGAGCCACAACGCCAGCTCCAGCTATAGCCCCCAGACATTGGATAATGATGTAAAATAATCCTCTGGCCACTGATATTTTCCTGGTGCAAATCATGGCCACTGCTACTGCAGGGTTTAAAAAGGCTTCACATATATGCCCGAAGCAATGAATTAAAATGGCTATGCTTAGTCCAAAGCAAAAGGCTATATGTGTATCACTGGCTCCAGGTTCATTCAACCCTGCTGTAGATCCTAAACTAACAACCAAGAAAAGAAACACTGCTAAGAATTCTCCAGCCATAGAAGTCCAGAATTGCCTGGTCCATATTCCTTTAAAGGCCGTCATGGTTCAGCACAGATGCTGTGGGTGGTCAGAATGGCAGTATTAATTATTTAAAGGTGCTCTAGAGTTCCTACTCTAGGGAGAGAATAGTATTGTGTGTTGGGGGCTCAGCTATTTTAGTAAGAGGAGTAGAGAAACTGGTTGAGCAAGTAGTGACGTGCTGGTGACACAGCCCCATCCTTAGATAGCAGAAACTTCTTGCAAGAAAGTTGTTGTTTTTTCCTCCACTCCCTGAAGGTACGTGGTATTGCCTGTTAAGAAGGGACCTGTTAAAATAGTGTTCTGAAAGAAATATGAGCCACAAGGTATTTGTCATGACTTTTAATGCTTAACACACCCTTTGTCTGTATGCTGGTCTACCTTGGTAGAACATTAAACTACTGAGAAAAAAAAAAAAGACATTGTTCGTTTTCAGAATCTGATCCTGGTGACAATGTGCCAATATGGTATTTCCTGTTTACTTAACATTGGTAGCAATGCAGAGCCCTAGTGTTAAATTAGTGAAACATTATATTTTAGTATATAATACTTTAACATCAGATTGTTGTTATGGCACAAACCATCAGTGTTACACTCAACTAGAATATTTAATATGTATCAGACTAACATCGTTCCACCGTAATCCAAGCCTACTAGGCCAAGAGACTGGACACTTCCTTGTATATCATTAAATAGAAAATGTTCCCATCCTGTAAGCCCATTGTTAGGCTGCAAATCAACACGCTGCCATGGTCGTGCGTAATCAAATAAGTTTCTGCTTCCCTCTTTATCTCTGTTTAAATTCTGCTCGCAGGGAACACTCAATGGACGCCAGTAGGTAGTGCAAAAAGTGTTCGAATTTTTAATGGTGTACAGCGTATATATAAAATACAGTTTTCGTAGGGGTGTGAACAACAAAAGGCAAACTCAACCAATCATAGCATTTTCAGTGTAAGCAGTCTAATTTTCTCATATAACATTACGTATTACAGTTATTCTACTGCGCATGTCTAGCATGTCTTCTCGAAGCTCTGCAGGGTTATCTTGTGAGAGAAAAAAGGGAATATGTGTGAAACTGTAACTGATTGCAAACAGGAGAGAGAAAAGTCTTGCTTTTAAACCTTGCAGACGTGGAAAGACTTAACTAAGGCAATAACTGATGTACATGACGGTCTTTGATTTAGGAACCCAATTAAAATTTTCAGGTGGTTAGAGAGAATGTTATGTTTTCCAACGGCAGGATGTTTATACACTATAGTGGAAACTAGTGTCAGGATCTCAACAGAAAAAATATGGTATGTTTAAAGAATGCGGGTTTAAACCCTTTCAAAGCATGAGTATCTTGTATTATACTCAGGCTTACTGACCATTCAATCTTCCAAGCACTGTATAAAGTATATACTTTTAGCTATTAATAAGAAATACAGAAGTAGAAAGCAGGACATTAGACTGACACTCTGCAACAGAATATAAATATATATATTATGTATAGCGCTGTATGTCTAGGGGAATATTCACTAAGCATTGCATGGGTAAAACAATGAATTCTCTATCACCCATGGAAGAAGGAATTAGACGTTTGTCCCCTCCCAACACTCAATTATACTTGCCCTGCCTGGTGGTAAGAGCAGTTCTCCATTTAGAAAGAATAAATGCCACCTCCCCTTGGACTCTGTAAATTTCCAAATTGAATGTTTACAAAACCTTTCATGAAGTGCGTAAAGGAATGAGACCTCTATAATGGTTACATAGATGCGTGAGAACACAAACATAAAGGAGAACATTCAATGACTTTGACTTTGAAAAAAACTACTGACATGAGATATCAGTGACTCTTTTAACTGTTCTTGGAAAACTATCTCATCAAAAAAACAACATTATTTATAACAACAACCCTACTAACTACATATATTGCCCTGTGACATAAATGTATTCAAAAGTTAAAATCAAATAATCTGAAGGATCACAATTTATCTGATTCTATAATTCAGAAATTTGTTTTATTTTTTTTAAAAGCACTATGAAGATAATTATACATATATGTTTTATGGGAGTTTGACCGTGGGTTTGAAAGCCTTATATTCCAGCTGGCTGGACAGTCCCGATTTCATGCCTGTCCCACCATGGTGAGATTTTCTCTGATAACCTGCTTCGGGGGACCCCCATTATTAAACACCCTTGCAGCATATTAGTAGTTTAAGGGCACCCTGCGATGATATACCCCTTCTCCCTACACATGCCCTGCTTCTATTCGTACCTTTTACTTCCTTATCAAGACTGAATTTAGATCTCAATTCTCTGCCCACACTTTCGTTATATCCTGCCTTGATACTGCAATTTACTCATCATTGGTCTCATCAAAGCCCAGATTCTCTCTTACAATCCACAATGAAGGCCGCTTTTAAACGCTTCTTGACCTCTGGCTCCTGACCACTCATTCAGCCCTTACACTTGCTCTCTGCAAGTTACTTTGGAATATGTTGTCGAATTATGAATTTTACTACTAGTAAAATAATAATAAAATGGCATTGTATCATCTTTTGTGTTTAACCTTAAAGTGCACGCTGTTTCACAATATCAACATGCATACCCACAAGGTCAGCAACACTGCTCAAGTTTAGATGAAACTCGTGAAATAAACAAACAAAATGCAATTCAGGTGTGTCCGGCTGCTCTCCTGGGCAATGAAGTAAAAAAGGTCATGACCCACACAGGTTTCACAATCATAAAGTGTATGTACACTCTGTGTCAGAATGCTTGTAAGGTCCAAACTTATTCAGTTTCTAACAGTCTCTCTCTGGATTTTTTTCCTGCTGTTTAATGGTAACAGTTACATTTAAAACAGTGTATGTTTATAGTTTCTGCCCATACTTAAACAAGCAAACAAAAAATAGATAGGCAGGAGAGGCAATAAGGTTCTTTACTGATGCTGTGATAGTGATAGGTGCGTGTAAGAATTTACATTTCACTATGGTAATTACATAGACGGTCACATGGTATTTGCTAGAAGCATACATTCTTTTCATAGCAGACCTGAGTCTTAACTTGATAGAACATGATAATTAATATTGAGATCAGATTCAGTGCATAGAGACCAATTTGTGTGGTTATTGTAAGCCATCATATATATATATAATATGGATTTGTAGACAAGCGAGCTACATGTTGCATTTTATTTACCGGTCTAGAAGGGTGATCCTGCTCGGGGACTGCAATGTGGCAGAATGGTTGTAAGAACACATTAAGAAAAACAGAGCACACAAGAAAAATGCAGTGCACAATGTTAGAAGGCTACTTAAAGAGACGGTTTATGGTGCCAGGAGTTCCCTGTTACTCACCCATTGTGTGGAGTCAAACCATTTTGAATGGTTTTACCTGGGGTCTGGCAGGCACCGCTCCCCACCTCCACTACCAATGCTGCAAGCTGTAGTGGGTCTTGTGCTTGTGGTGTTCCTTTAAAATCATTAATGTCATGTGAATAAATATGAGGATTCGGTCACAACCTATGACCATACTGTGTGTAAGTTCACCACTGCTTACAATGTACACCTGTTAGTGGTTCCAGCGGTCCATAGAGATTAATGGTCGTCCCACATTCGGTAGATAAACTACATTTGTATGTCGGCCAACCAGCACTAGCAGCCAGTGTGCAAATAGTTAAATGATATTTGTTGACATGACAATTAATAATGTGGCTGCTGCCCAGCACTTGCTAGCTAGCTGCCACATTAAAACGTAAAAAAAGAACAACCAAAAAATAAGCCTACCTCCATATTATTATAAGGGAGGTTGTAGAACTCCCTCAAGCAGCAGGTGGGGGAATATCAACAAAACATAAAAAGTCATTCTCTTCAAAGGCCCATTCTATGGGGATGGGGCCTGAAAAAAAAAAAAAAGGGTCCTGGTCCCCATGCCCCTCCTCGTGGGGGACTTTAAATTAAATAATGGATCACTGTCCACCTCATTCCCCCCCCACCTCCCACGTGTGGGAACTATTAAAAAAAAAAAGGGGTACTCGTGGTTAATTTTTGGGGGATACTTCTTATTAAAGCGGAGGGCCAGGAGTCCACCTCCCAAATACCACCCATAGGCGCAGATGGGAGCGCTAATTATAATAGAGTAGCGGCAACCAAACAGGTGGCATGTGGGGGCTCTAATTAAAAAAAATTTCACAAGTCCTCCCCCCCGTGGTTAAAGGATCACAAGCCCCTAGCCGCCCCCTCATCAAAAATAACTACCTCTCTACTCCCCCCCTCACTTTAATAATTGTGAAGGTGGCAAATGAAACTATCTGTAAAAAAACTCTTACCATCAGATGTCTTCTTTCTTCTAAATCTTTTTATTCTAATGAAGTCGATAGAAAATGATTTCTCTAAGTGTATTTTCTCTCCTGAAAATTCATAAAGTCTCTATCAAGTTACATTGCTTTATTTTTCTCGTCCCACTAATCATTGGCCTAATTAAGAACATTTCATCTCTTTCTGTTTGCTTAAACTTCAGTATCCCTGCTGACTATATAACATTTATTTAGAACCCCACAGTGGGGGTGTGGGGGAGGTCACTACTATGTTATATTAATAAATTCCAACATGGGGTAGAGGTGGTGAACATTGAAAGGTGGAAGTTAAATTGAAACCCCCACTTCATGCCCACGGAAGGGTGCACAGGGGGGTGTATATTACAAGCAGCTGTGTAGCAATAGCTGCCCAGTTGTTAGTTGTTTATTAAAGTGAGCAGCCCACTGTAATCAAACATGGATATGCCCCCACTTATGGTATGTCAAGCAGGTGCATGGGGAGCGATATAAAGGTTTTAGACTTCCTCCATGCCCCTGCTCGCTATGCGGTGAGTGCATGCATGTAATGACCAAATGGCATTCAGTCAGTGAGCCTTTCGGTCATTTTGTCATTCAGTCAAAAGAGATTTTGTATTCTTTTTCTCATAAGTTTCAATAATTTTCCACATGTCTAGAAATCATACATTGAGGAGAGTCTCTTTAGGCTTTAAGCAGTAATGTTTAGTTTATTATAATTTATGCTAATGCTCAAGGACTTTTGAAATCCCAATCTGAATAAATTCTTTCTACATACAGTGATGCATTTTGTATCACAAACAACTTGGATATATGACATAACCAAGGCAGCTTATTGTATCCATGTGTTGGTAAACTGGATGTGCATACACACATGTCTCTCCACACATTGTTATGAATCCACCCTACTTTTTCTCTGTCATTCTTGCTCAACATATTTACAAGCCTCTTGACTTTCTTGAAGATATATTTTCTATTCAGTTGTTATATTGTATATTTTAAAGGGTCACTATACAAACCCTGACCACTTCATTGAGATGAAGTGGTCTGGGTGCTATACCCCCTTGCTTTAACCCTGCAAGTGTTCTGCAGAATGGCAAGGTTTTCTTTGCAGGGGTATCAATGTCTCTAGTGGCTGCCACTCAAAGTGGTTTCCTCCAAAATAGTTATTGTAAAAGACCACCTGATTGGCACAGTGTGACATTTTGCGCACCAACCTCCCAATCATTTTCAATAGGAAAGCATTGGATTGGCTGAGAACATATCCCTTGATGATATGAGTGAAGGAGCTAAATGGCCACCATAGTGTTAGGAATTCACATTTGTAATTTCTGAATTTAAAGGCACCATAATCATGACCTGTATGGCGCATTGTAGTCAATTGAGCACTGGCAAGGGAAACAGGGCTTTTTCCTCCTTCAGAACGGAGTCAAACTCAGTGGAGGAGCACGTCATTCATTCTTGTATGCATATCTCCAATCCAGTGCTTCTCTATGAGAAGCCATGGATTGGACGAGATCACAGAAGACTTCAGAAGGCATGCTGACGCCTTTGGAAGTGGTGTGAGTGGCTTAATCAAAGAAGTGTCAGCACTGGAAATGAGGTGAGCAATCTTTATTTTACTTAATTTCTTTTTAGCAAAGGAGGTGACAGTGTTCTCAGTGAGGTTTACGATAGTCTCAATGACAGAAGGGAATCTCTATTCTAGAAAAACAACTGTTATTTTCAGGACTGTATGTTCCCTTTAACTCTACCTGAAGCCCACATAACAAAATGTACCTGCAGGACTTAGAAACTATCAAAATGATACAGCAGCAGAGAATGGGGCATGATGATACCAGGTGGTGTGATAATGGGCTGCTGAATATGGACATAACATCAATACTCCAAGTTTGAAAGCTGAAAGCCTATGCCCATTATTTAAATTTGTAATGTAAATAAAAAATGCAACCCTAGTATACTCACCTTGCATGTAGGGACACTTCTGCACTTGGGTAAAGTGATTGAACATAACGTTTTGGGCTTTTTCGTGTATTTTTGAATTGCATTAGTACACAGTTGACTAATAGAATGCTCAGCATATTGTGCAGATTATGCACTACATAATTTGTCAAAGACTGATGACAGACTTGTTACACAATGTATTAAATTCCTGTAGGTAAATACTTTGGTGTGTCTACTTGAAAATGAAAAATAAACCGTAAACCCCACAGCCGCCGCAGCTTGGCTGGGGTCTCACTGTCCTCCACCCACCCTGGACCCAAGTCAGGGATCCAGCTCAGTAGGTAGACCTCTCCTACTTCAGAGAGTATAGCAGGATAGCTCTTACAAGAGCTAGTGTTGTAATCTAAGGGAGTATAGTGATTATAGCAATCCCCAGTGTGAATATAGCTGTTCCCTCCATACATGAGACGAGGCTTTATGTTGAGGGTAAAGAGGAACTGTTTAATGGCAGCCACAACTAGCCTTATATGAGGGGTCCAGGGTGGGTGGAGGACAGCGAGACCCCAGCCAAGCTGCAGCGGCTAAAGGGGTTTCGGGTTACATATTCCAGGGGCATTCCTCACTGGACATGAGAGTAGGCTACAGCAAAAACATACACATGATTACATTGGCTCTCAGGTCCAGGACACTCCCACACAAAACAAGATAATCCTTTCCCTGTGCCTGGAAGATAATTGAGTCAGGAACTGTACTAAACTCAATTATCTCCAGGCACAGAAACACATTTTAAAAACCTCCCAAAAGTACCCCCAAAACACATGGAAACTCCACAAAAGTCACATCTCCTGATGGCCCCGATTTGGGGGACCAACATATCCAAAAATCAGATCGGTTCAGGGGTTCAGGGTTTCCATGGAAGTCATCATTTTGACCGACCGTGCACAAGGTCTGTAGCGGAGCTCCATGTACCCTGGCTGGGTACCGCTTCCTAGCTGGAACAGCACTTCTGCCCACAGTCGCCATGGCTTGACTGGGGCCCTGGAACCGCTCTCTCCTGGAGCCGAATGGGGAAATCGCTCTTGACACCCCTAGGCACCGGACGACACTCCTGGGAGCTCTACTCTTTACAAGGATTTTCCCCGTTGAATCCTCCACACTGGAACAGTTATTAAAAAGTAGCCCTTTCTCCTCACAGTAAACAGATGACACGTAGTTCTGGGAGTACAAGCTGAAACGCTTTAATGACAGCCACAACTGGAATTATATTCATGTCCCCAAGCAAGGGGCAATCCCACCTGTACCTGAGAGTAAACCACAATAGAAAGAAAAATACACAATTACATTGGCTCTCAGACCCAGGACACTCCCATACATAATCAGATAATCCCTCCTCTGTGCCTGGGAGATAATTGGATCAGGAACTGGACTCATTTAATCCAATTATCTCCAAGCACAGAAAAAAATATATACTTTTTCCCCACACACCCCAAAAGTACCTTAAAAATACATAAAACCCCACATCCCCTGATAGCCCTGATCTGGGTGACCAACATATCCAAAAATCACCCAGATCAGTTCAGGGGTTAAGGATTTGTTTGACCAACCGCACGCATGGTCCCATGAACAAAACAGTTCCATAGAATGAGGGCTAGCGGTCAGTCTAGTTCAGTAGTTTAAAAACAAACTACCGAACATAGTCAATGGTCTTACCCTGAAGCTTGTTCCCCTTGTTCAGACGAACGATTCCCCCGAACAGTTCCCTTCTAACTTGTGTAGAAACGAATGCAGGCGATGGTGGAATTCCAGCGGTGTTCAGGAGTTTCTGTGTCCGATTTTTAGTGCCATGAGATTCATGCCCAAACACTGCTGCCTGCGTTCATGCGAACAAGATGGCCGCCACCTTGTGGTCATCCATAGGAATTGCGGCCACCCAGACGAACACTTAGAACACTGAGGTGGAATTTGTTATCATGTAGCAATTGGGCTTAATCCAAGTACACGAATGGAGACTTTTATATCACATTATACAAGGTCCATAATCTGTGGACAGGAGGTTGGCAAGCAGGCTCCTCCAGGAACTTGTGGCAAACGCACTTGAAAAGGGGAGTTTGTCACATGGTCCTATGCCCAAAACAGTTCCAGGAAATGAGAGCTAACGGTCGGTCTCTCTTTCTGGAGTACAAAAGTACATAAATCATATAAACTGAGCCTTTTAAAGTGGATTGGGCAAGGTATATTGCAAGGCACCGCATAGTCCTGAGGCAGGAGGCTGGCAAGCAGGCCCCTCCAAGAGCCTGTGATGTGGTTCAGTTTGTCACAAAACCTTTTGTTGGGGGTAGATGTGGCTTTGGTTCCGAGGGTGCACAGC